GATCGGCTATGAACAGCCAACTGAGAGACCTGAGCCCTAGGACCATACGTCGGGACTACCGGCCGTGGTGACTCCTTGCTGTCCCCAGTCCGCCTGGCCTTGCTGCTATTCCAGTTTCAACTGTTCTGCCTGCGGTTATGGAACCCCTACCTGTCCCAGACCTGCTGTTTTCAACTCTTAATGATCGGCTATGAAAAGCCAACTGAGATTTATTCCTGATTATTATTTGACCATGCTTGTCACTTATGAACATTTTTGAACATCTTGGCATGGTTCTGTTATAATCTTCACCCGGCACAGCCAGAAGAGGACTGGCCACCCCTCATAGCCTGGTTCCTCTCTAGGTTTCTTCCTAGGTTTTCGCCTTTCTAGGGAGTTTTTCCTAGCCACCGTGCTTCTACACCTGCATTACTAGCTGTTTGGGGTTTTAGGCTGGGTTTCTGTACAGCACTTCGAGATATTAGCTGATGTAAGAAGGGCTATATAAAATAAAATTGATTGATTGATTGATTGTCTTTCTGTCATGTACCATCAGATAATGATATTGTCCTCTACCTTTAGATAAAAGATAGAAGATAAATCAACATGAATCATGGTGTTTCACACTGCAGACCTATCTATGTTATGATGAGTAAATATACAGGAGTAGCTCAGGACAGACAAGCTTTGGGTCCTGTTGTTCCAAGTTGTGTATCACATGCACAGAAATGGAGGGCCCCAGTGACTTATTTCTACAAACAACACTGTCACCTAGTGGCTATGGGATGTTAGGAACAGGGTGTTAACGTCAGCGAGAGAGAGAGAGAGAGAGAGAGGGGAGGGATAGAGAGCGGGCAGGAGAGAGAAGGAGCAGGTTTTGAACACAGAGGAGCCCAGGGGAGGGGTCAGGTTTGTAGGTCAGGGTTACCATCTGTAAGTGTGTGGCTTGACATCACTGTGTTCCATTATGGATGATGGTAGAACTGATCGCTTAACCATAACCCATGGTCCCCCGTGTCAATCTGTTCTCAAAGACACACTGCTAATGTGACATATACAAGCATCATTTGACCATATATCTGTGCTGTTTAGAAGAATCTCTCTATCTTTCCCAGTCTTTTCAGCCCTCCTCTCATCTGCTCAATTTCTCATTCTCTCCTGTTCTCCATCAACATACTGACCGTCAGACTATCCGGACACAAGACAAGGCCAACACCTGATGCTGGTAAATGTGTATTTTTGCCGCCCTACTGTAGATATTGAGGCCTATAGCCTAATGCTTAGCAAATAGTTAAAACACACTTGTAAGTAAGTATTGCATCTCTATGTTAAAGTGGAATAGGTCTACATTTATTTTTAGGTGAACTAAACCTTTATACTAACCATATGCTTGTTTTGATTATAAAGAAAAAAAAAAATATATATATATATATATGTATATCTTAATGTATGTAATGGATATTTGATAAGTTGTAGAATGTTTGCCTGAATTAACTCTTCTGTAGGCTACGTGCCTAGCATAGATTTTTTAAACTTCTGGAAAATATGAAGTTTTGGCATATTATCTGGAAAATGTGTGTTGCCATAAAAAAAATTCAGCTATTCTTTATTAGTAAGATGTAGGCCTAAAAACAATGGATAGAACACCAAACCCTGTGTGTTGGAGAGAGAGAGAGTGAAAGTGAGGTGGTTTTTAAAAGCTTTTCTAATGGTTCATTGAGGACTTAAAGCCTGTCCTTTCTCCACGGGGTCATAGAGAAGTCCATTAGGAGCTCTACACCTGATCACTGTCTGGGCTACTCTACCTCTGTGGGACGGGGTCGAAGCCGGGGCTAGGGGACAGGTGGAGAACTGAGGTGGGGGGAAACAAGTGGGTGGTACCAGAGCACTTTTACCTTGTTCCACCTGTCATCGCTTTATCTGCCCACTTGAGAGAAAATAGAGTGTAGCTGTTCTAGATTGATATTTCCATTTCAGTATTGAACAACTCAAGAAAAGTGTGTCAGATAATATGAAGGTATTGCTTGGTCTCATTACATAAGAGGCATATATTTCTTTGCCAAGACTTCAAGTGCCAAAGTCATTAGTTGCTAATTCCAAGGTCTCTAGATTTCACTTGATAAGGCAGGCTGGGCTGGAGAACAAGAAGCTGCCTATGGCCAGGTTAGTGTACCAGGGGATAATCTGAGAGGAAAATGAACTGGTGTTTTGGTAGAGGGCATTTTGTTCTCTGCATCAATCAAAAACTAAGGCTGACATTTTGATAATGGTTTACTTCAACTGTCATCCTACTCACTACGGCTAAAAGGAAATGTTCACCCAGGAGGCAAACAACTGTCTGATCTTTCACACATGCACACTCACACACATACACCCCACACACCTTCCCACCTGCACCCCTACATCCACTATCCTGACACAGAGATCTACTTTCCATGAAGAGGGTTAGTTCATGTAAAGTACCAATGCAAGTCATCCTGCCTCTGTCCCTGCTCCACTGCTCCTGCTTAACTCTTGGCTGTATATGTTTTCCCTCATGGTGCTGTACTGTGGGAGCGCCTGGGGTCACGGGCAGTGCCAGTGTTAAGTGAGTGGGCAGGTGAGCGGCGCTTGGGTCCCTGTGGCGAGGCTAGTAAACTGACCGGTTCTGTTGTGTGGACTGAATGGAGGAGTGAGACTGAGGGGTGGAACCTCAACGGGTTATCTCAGGGACGGACCACATTCAAACTGCTTGGAAGGAAAGGGAGAGAGAGATGGAGGGAGAGCAGGGGGCAGGAGATGGCTAATAAGAGTATGCAAGAAGGAGAGGAGAAAGATAGAGAAAGAAAGAAAGAATAGGAAACAGGTGAAAATTGAATATATGCAAATGTATGTCTTTGTGGGAGGTCAAAGCACAGTCTTATATATTCCAGAACTTCAATATATAAGTACACACAAAGCTCTTCCTCACTACCCTTGGAATTCCCCCCCCCCCCCCCCCCCCCCGCCCCCCCCCCCCCCCCCTCTCTATTCCTCTCACTCCATCTCACCCTCACCTCCCCTCTCTATTTCCCTCTTTCAATTCCCCTCTTCCTGCAAATGTTTTTTGCTGGTCATAGATCCCTCAGGTGGAGGTCTTTAACTACTGAACCATGACCTCTGTTGGTAGTAGTTTCATTTTCTCAGTCACGAGGTGTCCTGTTACCACTGTGAGATTGAGTTTCATATCATTTATGGAAAGGAGGACCATTCTTCTAACAAGAGAAGTGTAAAATCGAACCCTAACACATATCCTGAGGAGATATAAACCTTTTTTCTTACTATACCATAATGTATGTACATGGTCTTTGGCAATTATACAGTGTCTTTCCATGGCTGTGTGGATAGTTGGTCCCAGTGACTGTGCAGTGTGGCTGTGTTTTCACCTGTAGAGAGGGTTAGAGAGATAAGCAGTTTCCTTTGACGACAGCTCAGGTTTAGTAACTGTTGAGTGAGACAGTGAGATTATCAGTGCTCTTTAGACTAAAGCTTTTCCTGGACAATCACCAAGTAGATAGTAATGATACAGATCCTTGTTCTGCGGTAGTTATAGAGAGAGGATTTGGGCTAAGCAGGCGGGTGAGTGGGGCACCCTAATCAGTATACCTGTAGCTAATGATTTACCACTGTAAACACTATTACATCTATACTCTTTTACACAAGCTCACAATGACTTGACCAATTCGGCCAGGAGAAATGTACCTTCTTGTATTGGAGTTGTGCTGCACTCCCTATACCTGTAGTAAGACGTGTATGAACCCCACTATGGGGCCACTGGAAGCCTCCCAGCTTGGCTCTTGTCCTCCAGTAAGAGCAGGGCAGCAGGGTGGCTGCTGGAGGAATTCCTCCTATATCAGGTGACCCATCGCCCCTCTCCCCTCGCCCGGCCCACACCGGGGTAGTGCTTCTCATGGGCACTGTATCCAATGTCACAAAAGCACATTTTATACAACGGGTACAGAGAGTGGGCCGCGGTGCGGTGCAGTGGTTCTGCTTGGTCCAGCTCCAGGCTTTGCTAGATTAGCATGTCGTTGGGTTTCAGACCTCCCCCTGGGCTCACAGCTCTACTCCTCATTGGTGGGGATGTCCATCATCAAAGCCTTATAGAGATATCAAGAGGTCCAGTGTTGCTGCTGCTGCAGTCTCCATGGTACAGACAGGGAATCAATGATTAGACGGGCCCGTCATAATTAGGTAAGTGTCCATTTGGATTTATTGCTTTATACTGAGCTCTTTTTGTTTGCCTTTTTGTTTGACAAACCATTGTGATGAGTGGTGATGAGGTGATGAGTTGAGTGCCTGTAAGTTCTCAATCAACATCTTTGTGATGAGGGCATGTCTGGCTGTGCTGTGACAGTGGAATACTGAGTGGTTCATATAAAATAGAACGGTCTGCAACAGAGAGAGAAACAGAGGGAGGGAGAGAGAGATGGATGGAAAAGAGAGCAAAAGAGAAGGTGTCAAACTCAATTTATCCGGTCTTGATAGATGATAAGATGTTTCATAGTTTATTTTGAGGATTGTTGTTGTTATGAGGTCTCAAAAATGGTCTCCTTCCCTCAGTCGAAAGAACGTTGCTTTTGAGCTACTGTAAATATTAATGTGGGATATACACCTAATATAATCAGTTCTGAAATAATATATTTTTTACAGGTCAGGACAGGTGAGCATCTCATGAAAAAGGCTTTGGTTGAGTAATCTGCTACTGAGAGCCTCACTAATATCATTGGAGCAAAGTTTCCCCCCAATCCTACTTTAGTCTTGACTGTTATTTCCCCATATTCAGAGCAGTGTAGCGATTTAGGAAGAACAACCACAGCTGGGTTTGAACCAAAACCCATGCAGTGACAGGGCAAGCTCAGTATCTCTTGTGCCATAAAGCTCCAGACCTCTTGGCAGAGGCTGTAGTAAGTAGTATGCTTACATACAGCAACGCTACGTCAGTGTATGAGAAGTGACAGTTTCTCAATTTCTCCCTCATTAGATCCTTCTCAAACATCAGGATGCTCCCCTATCACTTGGCCCTCTTGGCAGTGATGTCGCTCACAGTGACCAGTGTATCGACGAAGACCACTCAACGGCCAAAGTACCAATACACCAAGAAGCCCATGCCTTACCGCGAACAGCCCCAGATTACCATGCAGCCCCTAACCACCATCATCCCTAAGACACTGAAATCAGTGAAGAAATCAGATCTCATGGACCCCTACCCCCTGGCTACCACAGAGACCACACCCTACCCCAGTGATGCCTACCAGGACTACTATACTGAAAGCACAGGGCCCCCTGGTGTTGGGCATGATAATTACACCCTGGATTATAACGAGTGCTACTTCAATTTTTGTGAGTGCTGTCCACCAGAGAGGGGCCCTCGAGGGCCAAAAGGGGACAGAGGACTACCAGGTATTGAAATCACTATAACAACATAGGGACATTTAACAATAGCAGTATGCTGTAGTGGTGATCCATGGATTTTGATGTCTTGTTGAAACTATTTTCTCCCAGGTTCACCTGGAGAAGAGGGGGAGCGAGGACCCAGAGGCTTTCCTGGACTGGCTGGTTCAAATGGAACTACAGGGCCAAAAGGAGACAGAGGTGAACACAAAAGAGAAACAATACATTATTTATAAGAAATATGTACACTTTACAGGCTGTGTGAGCAAACAGTAGATTTATTGATTATTCAAAGTTGTCTGTTATCTATCTCACTTTCCCAGGAGTTAAAGGTGACCAAGGATACCGTGGAATGGCAGGAACTCCGGGTATCCCAGGGAAGCCAGGAGAGAGAGGTAACAAGCCATTCCTTTTAACACATGTAGGCATGTGATCGGTACAACATAGAAAATCATGAAACAAGGCTACCTGTACCTGTTCAAGCCTCCATAAATGATTATTAAATCAAACATGTAGAATCGATTCATATCATATCTTCCTCATAGATTCTGTCTGGGCCTAGTTGCTGAAACTTACACTGTGCTCTGCGCCCTGCAGGTGGATTTGGCTTCAAAGGTGAAAAAGGTGACAGCGGGCCCCCTGGGGTCAAAGGTGACCGGGGGGAGCAGGGTGAAAGCCAAAATGGGGCTAAGGGTGAGAGAGGGGAACCTGGAATGGAAGGCCCAACAGGACCCCCAGGGCTGGCTGGGGCACAAGACATGAAGGGGGACAAGGGGGACAAAGGGGAGTGTGGGACATTTGGGGAAAGAGGACTGAAGGGCGATAGAGGGGACCCTGGGCCTCCAGGTATTCAGGGACAGGTGGGCCTTCCTGGGGTAGATGGCATGCAGGGCTCCCCTGGTGTGGCGGGCAACCAGGGGGCTCCAGGACCTCCAGGGGCTCAAGGTGAGCCAGGGGTGATAGGGCTGCCTGGTCCCCAGGGAGGGAGGGGGATGTTTGGGCCAAAGGGTGACAGAGGCCCCCCCGGGATGAGAGGGGACAGGGGCCCTCGGGGGATCAGAGGGGCGAAGGGTAACGGGGTGATTCAGAAACGCTCAGCTTTCAGTGTGGGCCTCTCCCCCAGCAAGTCCTTCCCTCCATCGGGCTTCCCAGTCCGCTTCGACAAGGTCTTCTACAACGGAGAGAACCACTTCAACGCCTCCTCCAACAGCTTCACCTGTGCCCACGGGGGGGTCTACGTGTTCTCCTACCACATCACTGTGCGGAACAAGCCCCTGCGCGCCGCCCTGGTAGTCAACGGGGTGAGGAAGGTGCGGACGCGGGACTCACTGTACGGCCAGGACATCGACCAGGCATCCAGCCTGGTGCTGCTGCAGCTGTCGGCGGGGGACCAGGTATGGCTAGAGACACTGAGGGACTGGAATGGAGTCTACGCCAGCAGTGAGGATGACAGCACCTTCTCTGGCTTCCTGCTCTACGCTGACAAGCCCTGACAAACGATCTGATATCTAATTCAATCTACACTGTAACTCTACTGTACCTCCACAAAACCTAAACAATCTCTACTGGAACTCTTCCATACTACACATACGGAACCCCACAGACCAGCCCCTCTGGGCTCCTGCTCTACACAGACAATGTATGACAATGGAGCCCACTGTGCCACCACAGTACCAGTGACTGTAAAACACCTCTATATGATCTGAGTTGCAGCACTCACCCCATCTCTCATCATACTCCCTCTATAGACCCATCAACATATAGACATCTTTACAAGACTGTCAATCTGGTAGAATGAAAAATAATGCCAGTAAGACTGATATCACTGGAGTAGTTTAATGTTTATTATTTGAGGAATACTAATCACATAATGTTTCCCAGGTTAGGTTAAATTAATCAGTACATTGTATCGCTGTATTATGATCTTTTTGAAAATGATCTTTTGTACACTTTTGAAATAAAATCAATAAGAAAATGTTTGACTTTGACTGGATTTATTTGCATTGAGCTTACAATTGACAGTGCAAATACAATTCATTTTTTCATTCACAACATAAAAGACAAAATAATATAGTATTAATTAGTAATTATTATTTTACTAAAGTAGATAAAACATAAGTACATTCTGGAGGCATATGAATGGGTAAATTGGGGATGGAACTAAGTTGATTCGAAAGGGTCTAATTCTGAAACTGATAATGTACATTGCTCTGGTATTGTTTAAAAGAAGTCCCTCCACTCCCATCATCTGAACCAACAACAGGGGCCAGTGTGTTTGGAGAATCACCGTATACATCGGGGAAGGTAGGGGGCTCAGAAGGCTGGTTAGAAGTGGTGGTCTGGGGAGGTCTTTTCATAGGATCTGGATTAGATGGAGCTCTGGGCTGGAGAGAGACAAATGGTCCCTGATGTATCCCTGTTAACACAGAGTCAGCATCAGGGGTGTCAGTTGGGTATGTCAGAGTATGGCAGTCGCCGTACCCTAGCTCAAGACCAAACATTTAAAATCATTCCAATCCCATTTAAAATGCAACGGCTGTTTAGCGTGTTGGTTGGCTGGCTTCAGGACCATGCGGAGCGTCGCTCGGAGAGAAGCTGTCCCCCCCACCCTGCCATACCCTAGGTTTAGCTGAACTGATGCCACTGGTCAGCATTATGATGCATCCTAAAAGAGGACTGCATCACTACTATTTTTTCTGGTTTCTCATTTGTTCTGAGTGTTCACCTGTTACTCGCCCATAAGGTACGGGCTCGCTGAGCCTCTTCAGCCCCAGAGTAGGAACGCTGGCTTTGCACCAGTACCGGCCCGAGTCCCTCATTACTGCGACTCTGCCCTGGGAGGAGGCAGGCCCCAGCCTCAGCCCATCCTGGTAGAAGTAGTAGTGGATGTGTGGAACTGGCTCACGGGCGTTCAGTTGGACATGACACACCAGGAGCATACGGTCTTCATGGGTCAGAGGGTCATTGGGCACAATCTCCAACATGGGCTCTGTCAGAACCTCTGCAGGGGAGAATACAGAGCATTAATACTGAAAAATATTGCTCACATACCTACTGGTATTCAATTACCATTAGATATGATAGTGATGATAATGGAATGATGAGGGCAAATCTCATTTGAAATTTTATTCCACACCCTACACAAACTCAAAATGACAAACCACATATGTCACAACCTCACCTATGATGGACACTGGAGTAGCCACTGAGATCACAGAGTTGGTTTCCCTCCGCCCATCCCAGGATGCTCTGCACCAATAAGATCCGTCGTGTTGCAGGTTAAGGTTGGTGACACGCAGCTCTGGGCCAGGCTGTCTCTGAAGCTCCACCCCGTCCTTGTAGAGTATGACCTCTGTCAGTCTGGGGTTGTTACGGACACGACACGTCAGGGTCATTGTCTCTCCAACCAGCATGGGCAGGGGCGGGGCCTGCAGGATGGCCCACCCACCTGGGCAAAGAGTGGTAAGTGATTGTAGTTAACGAGAGGGTGTAGTCCTTGTCTGGCCTGTTGACAGGTGTAACTTAGCCTGGTTATCAGTCTGTTTCTGCTTCTTTTGCTATTGTCACACGTTTGGCGTGACAACAAGAAAGGAGTTAGCTAATACAGACTGCTAACAGAAGGTCAACCAAACTATACTGAACAAAAATATAAACGCAACATGTAAAGTGTTGGTCCCATGTTTCGTGAGCTTAAATAAAAAATTCCTGATATTTTCCATATGCACAAAAAGTCCTCATAAATGTTGTACATTTCTCCTTTGGCAAGATAATCCATCCACCTGACAGGTGTGGCATATCAAGAACCTGATTAAACAGCATTATCATTATACAGGTGTACCTTGTGCTGGGGACAATAAAAGGCCACTCTAAAATGTGCAGTTTTGTCACACAACACAATGCCACAGATTGAGGGAGCGTGCAATTGACATGCTGACTGCAGGAATGTCCACCAGAGCTGTTGCCAGAGAATTTAATGTTTATTTCTTTACCATAAGCCGCCTCCAACGTCGTTTTAGAGAATTTGGCAGAATGTCCAACTGGCCTCACAACCTCAGACCACATGTAACCACGCCAACCCAGGACCTCCACATCTGGCTTCTTCCCCTGTGGGATCATCTGAGACCAGCCACCCAGACAGATTATGAAACTGAGGAGTATTTCTGTCTGTAATAAAGCCCTTTTGTGGGGACAAACTCATTCTGATTGACTGGGCCTGGCTCCCAAGTGAATGGGCATATGCCTCTGCCCAGTCATGTGAAATCCATAGATTAGGGCCTAATGAATTTGTTTAAATTGACTGATTTCCTTATATGGACTGTAACTCAGTAAAAGTATGTTGCGTTTTTATTTTTGTTCAGTATAGATGTCATCATGGCACAATATTCATAGGGCTTCTCTTACCGTCCACCACTATTTCTATGGGCAGGCTGAGGAGGGTGTGTTGTGTGCTTATCCATGTGGTTCTCAGACCCTGGCAGTAGTACTTCCCACTCTGCTGTGGCCTGGCCTTCCACAGGACAAAGTACTCAGACTCCTGGAGCTGCTCTCCCCCCCTGAACCACTGGAACCTCCACTCGGCCGACACATTCCCAGGAACACTGCACTTCAGACGCACGCTCTCCCCTGAGAAGATCCAGGGTCCCCCCTTGACTAGCTCAGCCACGGCTGTCTGCGGAGCCTTCGTGGGCAGAACTGCGAAGAAATGTTGACAAGTAAGTCTTTCTGCTGTTTTGAGTAGACTACTACGGCTGCGTTTACACAGGCAGCCCAATTCTGATATTGTTTTCCACAGATTGGTATTTTGACCAATCACATAAGATCTTTTCACATCAGATCTTTTTCAGAGCTGATCTGATTGCTCAAAAGACCAATTAGTGAAAAAAATATCAGAATTGGGCTGCCTGTGTAAACGCAGCCTACTAGAGTCAGACTTGAGGACGAAATAAGCATACATTCTAAGCATAAATGGCAACTTAGTCTTATTTACATGATCACCTAACATTACAAAAGACAGCTAATGTTCAGCAGTGTATAACTATTACGTAACTCGTGAAAATAGACAATTTACATACTGTATTTCATATGTTGCCATTACACAAGACAAAACTGGTTTGAAGAGAAGGATTTGAATCTCAGAGGCTGCGTTTACACAGGCAGGCCAATTCTGATCTTTTGCCACTAATTGGTATTTTTGACCAATCAGATCAGATATTTTGCCAATATTTGGTCAGAAGATCAGAATTGGGCTGCTCTGTAAATGCAGCCAGAGAGTAGTGTATTTACTACATACCTTGTGGCACAGCCCATTGAGGTAGTGTTGAAACAACTGAAACAATAAATAACCATTAATCATTAAAATAACCAAAAATACCACCAGTGATCATTATGTCGATCAATCAATCAATGATAATCTATACACATAAATAATGGTATGTAATCTCTTTAAGGGGACTGAAAGGAACTCACCAAGGAGGCTCAGTAACAGCTTCATGTTGAGTGTTCTGTTTGTGCTTCTGATGGGGATAACTACAGTACAATCTTTATATATTGTCAGGGGAAATGAGACTAGGTTTTAGTTTCGATTACTAAGAATACCATCTCATTTATGTGAAATAATTTATCTTGCCTTCATTGCATAATGCTCTTCCTGACATATCCAATAACTTTGGGGAAGTTCCTTTTTAGGAATGAGGGGATTACCAAAGCCCTGGGAGGCAACCTCATGTTTTTTAAACATCTAGTTAGAGTAAGCACTTGTGAAATGTACGAATAATGCTAGAGCTTCAAAATACAAGTTAACAAAGATACAATAGGTATTTGGCAATAGGTGACCCTTGCACCAAAACAAGTTTGATTTCATAATGCATGATCAGTAAGTTTGCCAGCCCAGCAAGTATATAATTTTGAAGCAGTGTCACAGTACTCAGATCAATATACAGTATACACTGTGTACAAAACATTAGGAACATCTTCCTAATAATGAGTTGCACCCCCTTTTGATAGAACAGCCTAAATTCATCAGGGCATGGACTCTTCAAGGTGTTGAAAGCATTCCACAGGGATTCTGGCCCATGTTGACTCCAATGCTTCCCACAGTTGTGTCAAGTTGGCTGGAAGTCCTTTGGGTGGTGGACCATTCTTGATACACACGGGAAACTGTTGAGCATGAAAAACCCAGTTCAAAGGCACTTACATATTTAGTTTTTCACTTTCACACATACACAACCCATGTCTCAAGGCTTAAAGATTCCTTCTTTAACCCGTCTCCTCCCCTTTATCTACACTGACTTTAGTGGATTTAACAGGTGACATCAATAAGGGATCATAGCTTTCACCTGGTCATTCAGTCATGGAAAGAGCAGGTGTTCTTAATGTTTTGTACACTCAGTGTACATTGCAAACACACCTTTGCTTGCGCTACTTTTTTTCTACTTACCCTAGATAGTCATGTTACAGTGTGACGGTGACAAAGCCTTCTAGACACAACAGATTTTGAGTTATTTTATTCGTAAACACAACAAACCCATGGACACTATAAAACAATACTGTCTCAATAAGTTACATTTAAATACAAGACAATGTTGCGTTTTCCTTCAACATACAAAAACAAACCTACAAGGTTGTACAGATTTTTTTTTACATTGCTTTCAAAAATACCTGATCATTGATTGCTGTGTGCTATCCAATGCCTAGTTATTTCAGTTAGTGTTTAAATTGGATTGAATGGATTTTGGCAACCAGTGTTTGGCTAGCATTTGTACACTGATCTGATAGTTACAAATGTGATAAAAATTAAACATGATAAAAGAGAAAATATATAGGTAGTGTGTAAATTGACCTTTTCTGTTTCATCCAACGCAATGTCTACTGTTCCTTCATATATCCATCTAACCCTGAATTAATAGTTACTACATGGAGCTGAGATCAACATTGTTATGGCTATTCTGTTTGGCAACATTTACCCCCTAAACATTTGTACAAATAAAATACACCACTGTAAAATAATATAAAGAACTTACTAAAAGTACTCTTCTTAGATACAACCACACTAAATATGGCAACTGAGAAACTGCAGCCTTTCTCTGTTCTTCTGACGAAGCAGCTGTTCAGCAATCAAAAAAGGCCAAACGAGAGAAGTGACTGTTAGTATCTCCTATACTCTGAACCGCAAATCATTTTTTTTTTTTTTTATTAAAAACTTTGAGCTACAGTATCAATCTAGCAATTTTAATAGGCTAAACATCATTATCCCCTCTCAGATGACTGTCGCCTGAATGCCTCAAACAAACCTTTAAAATGTTGAAACAAATAACACAATTACTCATGTAACTGTTCTCTATGCAAGACTATTGTATAGGATTTAGAATGACTGCTAATGTAAACATTACAAGAATTGTGTCTTTATTGCATCCAATAACTAATATCCACACAATAGAAAAATAAAATCACTTCTCTAAACTGAGCACATGACTGGACAGGTTTGGCAGGGAAATGAAACTATATACAGTGGGGAAAAAACGTTTTTAGTCAGCCACCAATTGTGCAAGTTCTCCCACTTAAAAAGATGAGAGAGGCCTGTAATTTTCATCATAGGTACACGTCAACTATGACAGACAAATTGAGAATTTATTTTCCAGAAAATCACATTGTAGGATTTTTTATGAATTTATTTGCAAATTATGGTGGAAAATAAGTATTTGGTCACCTACAAACAAGCAAGATTTCTGGCTCTCACAGACCTGTAACTTCTTCTTTAAGAGGCTCCTCTGTCCTCCACTCGTTACCTGTATTAATGGCACCTGTTTGAACTTGTTATCAGTATAAAAGACACCTGTCCACAACCTCAAACAGTCACACTCCAAACTCCACTATGGCCAAGACCAAAGAGCTGTCAAAGGACACCAGAAACAAAATTGTAGACCTACACCAGGCTGGGAAGACTGAATCTGCAATAGGTAAGCAGCTTGGTTTGAAGAAATAAACTGTGGGAGCAATTATTAGGAAATGGAAGACATACAAGACCACTGATAATCTCCCTCGATCTGGGGCTCCACGCAAGATCTCACCCCGTGGGGTCAAAATGATCACAAGAACGGTGAGAAAAAATCCCAGAACCACACGGGGGGACCTAGTGAATGACCTGCAGAGAGCTGGGACCAAAGTAACAAAGCCTACCATCAGTAACACACTATGCCGCCAGGGACTCAAATCCTGCAGTGCCAGACGTGTCCCCCTGCTTATGCCAGTACATGTCCAGGCCCGTCTGAAGTTTGCTAGAGTGCATTTGGATGATCCAGAAGAGGATTGGGAGAATGTCATATGGTCAGATGAAACCAAAATAGAACTTTTTGGTAAAAACTCAACTCGTCGTGTTTGGAGGACAAAGAATGCTGAGTTGCATCCAAAGAACACCATACTTACTGTGAAGCATGGGGGTGGAAACATCATGCTTTGGGGCTGTTTTTCTGCAAAGGGACCAGGACGACTGATCCGTGTAAAGGAAAGAATGAATGGGGCCATGTATCGTGAGATTTTGAGTGAAAACCTCCTTCCATCAGCAAGAGCATTGAAGATGAAACGTGGCTGGGTCTTTCAGCATGACAATGATCCCAAACACACCGCCCGGGCAACGAAGGAGTGGCTTCGTAAGAAGCATTTCAAGGTCCTGGAGTGGTCTAGCCAGTCTCCAGATCTCAACCCCATAGAAAATCTTTGGAGGAGTTGAAAGTCCGTGTTGCCCAGCGACAGCCCCAAAACATCACTGCTCTAGAGGAGATCTGTATGGAGGAATGGGCCAAAATACCAGCAACAGTGTGTGAAAACCTTGTGAAGACTTACAGAAAACGTTTGACCTGTGTCATTGCCAACAAAGGGTATATAACAAAGTATTGAGAAACTTTTGTTATTGACCAAATACTTATTTTCCACCATAATTTGCAAATAAATTCATTAAAAATACTACAATGTGATTTTCTGGAGAAAAAAAATCTCATTTTGTCTGTCATAGTTGACGTGTACCTATGATGAAAATTACAGGCCTCTCTCATCTTTTTAAGTGGGAGAACTTGCACAATTGGTGGCTGACTAAATACTTTTTTCCCCCACTGTATATATATACCGTAATTTTCGGACTATAAGCCGCGCCTTTTTTCCAATTTTTCGACCCTGCGGCTTATATAACGGTGCGGCTAATCTATGGATTTTTACAGCTAACGGCCACTAGAAGACCTCCTAAATCTATGGATTTTACAGGTTACAGTCCACCAACTTTAACTCTATGGGCTCTATGACCGGTCCGCGCCCCCCACCTTTAAGCGGCGGGCCCCAGCAGGAAAAGCTGGAGGCCGGAAAAGAGTGAGACAGGTAGCGCGCAAAAGTAAAAGTGGAACCGAGAGTGGTACGAGAGACAGAACGAGAGACAGAACGAGAGCAAGACAGACAGACATTACGAGAGCGAGACAGTTTGTCTCTTTTCTGACAATCCCCTCTGTGCACGAACCCTTACATATGGTAATTAAACATTAAAACACCTGCGTCTTATAGTCCAGTGCGGCTTATATATGTACACATCATTCAATATCATTCAATTTAGCTGCTGCGGCTTATACTTCGGTGCGCCTTATAGTGCGGAAAATACGGTATATATATATTTAGACATCTTCAGGGGAAATTTGGTTGTGGTTACATACACTCACACACGCGATCACAACAGATCCCTCTCACCAGGGCTTCTGTCCTCTGACTTGGATTCAGTCAGGAGGACTAATATAGGGGACAAGGGAGGGCAAGATCAATGGTCTGCGTCCCAATAGTCTTAAAAAGCTTCCTTTCCTCATCTCCTTTCCTTCATGACCATGGATGAAGGCAATATGCCTGCAACCTATCTTGTCCTCTTACCAATCAGTGGTGAAGACAGACCGAGAAAGTTGGCTATTTAAGAGTACTGGGGTACAGGCGACTGCAAGCATCTATTTTAAGTGTGCATACAATGGAGAGGTTTGGAGTTACACTTCTTGGATCCATTACAGGGAACCTATATGTGCATAAGGACAGGAGCCACTTTCCAGGGTGGAGAGAGAGAGTAACAAGTCCAGAGGGTCAGGGTAGGGGGGTTGGGTGTTGGGGGTCAGCCAGCGAACAACTGGGGCTGGAGAGGAGGAGGCAGGTGGTCGTTCTCCATATTGTCAGCGTCTATGGCTGAAGAGGCGGTGGGGGAGGCGGGGGGGTGCATTTCCAGGGGGAACCTCTCCAACACATCCTGCACTTTGTGCTCCACCCCGTCCCTCCAGTCGATGAGGTCACTCTCCAGGCGGCGAGCCCCCTCCATGACACGTTCCTGCCTCACGCCCAGCCCCGTCAGCAGGTCCAGACGCTCATTCATCTGGCTGAAAGCAGCACTGCCTGGGGGGGAGGGGGCAGCCTGGGGCCGCTGGGGGGACGCCTGGCCTGACATGTAGAGCTCAAACTCCTCAGCGCTCAGGTTCAGAGACTGGCCATCCAGCTTCTCTATGAAGGCCACCGCACAGCACTGCAGAGGGACAGAGGGAGAGGGGAGGGGGGGGAGAGGGGGTTGTTGGGGGAATAACAAATTATGTGTATTTGAGTTTGTTTGGTACAGCTTGTCTGTCTGTCTGTTTGCTTTGCGTAGACAGCCCTCTCACCAGGTTGGTAAAGTAGTATCCGTCTTCTCCGCTCATAAGGCGGCTGGGGTTACAGAAGCGGGTGATGTACTGGATGTTGGACTGCAGTCGCGGAGGGTTGGCCTTCAGGACGATGTAGATGAGGGTGGGCAGGAAGTCATCAGCAGATGCCGCCTCCTTCTTGGTGGTATTGATGGCATTGAAGATGTGCTTACTGCAGCGTGTGATGCAGGTCAGCTTGTCCCTGGGCACACGCTTTGAGTCCATCTCGATCACATCTACACAAGGTCAGGGTGGAACAGAGTGGTAGTTAATGTGCTATGATGACATTCTACATCACATGCATGTTCAGTCAATGTTTGTGTCTCCTTGTAATGAACTAAAAACACAAATTAATACATGTCTGACCTGTGATGGCTTTGACCACGTTATCAGACACCTCAGGAATCTCCTCATCCACAGGGACACACAGCATCTCAATGGTGACCCAATGCAAGGCCCTGCAACCCACCCACACACACTTCAGTGAACAGATGTACAAGGAGGCATACAGCAGCTTCAATGCTCAAACTCAGTACCATATCAGTTTCAATGTCTTTACCTGATTCTCTTCTGAACGGCCAGGTCTTTCTTCTCATCGTCTGTGGTCTCAGGACAGAAGACCTCCTCATAGAGACGTGTCATCATGTACCGCTCTACCTCGTCCATCACACTCTCTACGCGCTCCGACGACCCTGAAGTCAACACGGACATAGACGGGAAAACAGCAAATGTGAATCATTCAAGGCCTACCTATAGAGAGCTCTCTGAAAGAAGAGTGTCTTCCTTCTTCTTCATTGTCACCAGCTACTTTATCATCAAGCCCCTACTTCAAGATATCCTTAATGATCCAGTATTAGTGTAATAGAGGTGAGGAAAGGAGAGCTGTACCTTTGAAGTGTGTGTTCAGGCGGTCTGACAAGTTCTGGTAGAAGTCTTGAACACACTCAGACAGCTCATCAGCACCCAGGTCCTGGGGAACAAGCTCACTATTAGCTTGAAGGGATTGTCGTATATTTTTATTCATTTCAAGTTCAAGGGCGAGTTCACATTTGGTTATTCACTCAATGCTCTGGAGTAACCTCAGCATTTGTTTTTAAATTTTAGTCATTTAGCAGACGCTCTTATCCAGAGCGACTTACAGTTAGTGAATACATATTTTATACATTTTTTTCATACTGGTCCCCCGTGGGAATCGAACCCACAACCCTGGCGTTGCAAACGCCATGCTCTATCAACTGAGCTACATCCCTGCCGGCCATTCCCTCCCCTACCCTGGACAACGCTAGGCCAATTGTGCGCCGCCCATGAGTCTCCCGGTCGCGGCCGGCTGCGACAGAGCCTGGATTCGAACCAGGATCTCTAGTGGCACAGCTAGCACTGCGATGCAGTGCCTTAGACCACATCCTTCTGTTCTACGATGAGGAAGTGAAATGTTCCAAAAAGCCGGAGGGGTGAATTAATAGAGGTAAGCCCAATCAGGCTCTCCACATTCAGAAGCCTCTGATGGTATTGTAGTGTAGTACTCACCCTCTTGTACGCCATGCTCTCTGTGAAGGCTCGGCACTGTTTGAAGATCTCCCTGCCAGGTTTCAGGGTCTTGAGGAAGTCGATGAACTCTTGTGTGGTGCGGTCTGTCTCTAAGGGCTTGCGGCTCACTGAGGGGCTGGGGGTCGACAGGGCCTCGCCAGGGACGGAGTCTGTGAGGGAGGAGGATACAGATAATGGAGGGAATGATATACCTGTGTGTACCTGTTTGTATGTACAATATTCCTTAGGTGGTGGATATAAAAAACAGGCTTTTGGCTGGCCTTAGGATGGGAAGAAGAGAAAATAAGGGTGGGCCTTCTATTCATCTCATCCCTTACCAGCACAGCTTGCGGAGTTGTGATTTCACACAACATCCTTCTGCAATCTATGTTTAGATAGTTACTTTTTGCTACGCTTCAAATGCACAGTTCCACATGAAATACATCAACCATGGTTTGTCCTGTATTATCTGAACAGTTCTGTCTTAAAACCCTCTACAGTCTAAGCCGGGGAGTAGGGGGTTCTAAGCTAACATATGGACTTGTTTTAAGATGGTCATACCAAGGATTATTTAGCTATTTGATTTTACATTTTAAGACCCTTTAAGGTATAGAAAATTATTGGATGAAACATTGTATTTGGCATTACTGCTATTAGCCAATAGAAACGCATTGAATAACAGATTCACTACATGGAACAACAGTTAGCCCCCCAAACAATCTGAAGGAAGTTTGTTCTGAAGTGTCAGGCCTATATCTGAGAGATATAAGATCAGGAAACTATTAAATATATATATATTTTTAAATGTATTTATCCCCTTATTTTAGGCACTAAACTATCTCCATATATACACTTCTATTAATTTTTTTTACTGGTACTGGGGAACTTCAGATGAGTCTTGTGAGGCTTGTGGACGTCCTAGAGCAAAACATAATTGTGTTCTTGAGAGTCTCAGCTCGGACGCTACAGACAGAAGTTGGCAGAAGAGGCTGTACTGACTTCAGACAAGTTTTGTGAGGCTTGTGGGCGTCACAATACTTGCAAAACGGAGAACACCATCGTTCAGACACTACAGACGTTTGTGAGAAGACTGATTTTTGGGATGTCTCATGGTTTGACAAACACTGCTCTAGCTCTGCCACCTTTCACCGCACATGCGGAAGGGCGATATCGGCGGATGCCCATGCAAAAAAAATAACATATCTTTAGCTTAAACAGACAGACTTTGATAGGGATTGTATTATGTTAATTAGATTTCCACAGGGGCGAAATTGTAGGCTAAGGGTTAAGGGGTGGTGATTCTATCTCCTCTATATGGCCTCACAGATGAAAGAATGTAATTAGGTTTGCCTTGGGATATGGTCTTCAAATCAAATCAATTTTTATTTGTCACATGCTTCGTAGACAATAGGTGTAGACAAACAGTGAAATGCTTACTTAAGGGTACTTTTCCAACAATGCAGAGTTAAAGATAATATACATTATTTTAAATAGAAAATGCAAATAGTGACATGAGGAATAAATACACAGTGAATAACGAATAAAAATAAAGTGTAAAAATAACATGACACTTTTAAGTGGGGAAAAAAGGTATTTAGTCAGCCACCAATTGTGCAAGTTCTCCCACTTAAAAATATGAGAGAGTCCTGTAATTTTCATCATAGGTACACGTCAACTATGACAGACAAAATGAGGAAAAAAAATCCAGAAAATCACATTGTAGGATTTGTTATGAATTTATTTGCAAATTATGGTGGAAAATAAGTATTTGGTCAATAACAAACGTTTCTCAATACTTTGTTATATACCCTTTGTTGGCAATGACACAGGTCAAACGTTTTCTTTAAGTCTTCACAAGGTTTTCACACACTGTTGCTGGTATTTTGGCCCATTCCTCCATGCAGATCTCCTCTAGAGCAGTGATGTTTTGGGGCTGTCGCTGGGCAACACGGACTTTCAACTCCCTCCAAAGATTTTCTATGGGGTTGAGATCTGGAGACTGGCTAGGCCACTCAAGGACCTTGAAATGCTTCTTACGAAGCCACTCCATCGTTGCCCGGGCGGTGTGTTTGGGATCATTGTCATGCTGAAAGACCCAGCCACGTTTCATCTTCAATGCCCTTGCTGATGGAAGGAGGTTTTCACTCAAAATCTCACGATACGTGGCCCCATTCATTCTTTCCTTTACACGGATCAGTCGTCCTGGTCCCTTTGCAGAAAAACAGCCCCAAAGCATGATGTTTCCACCCCCATGCTTCACAGTAGGTATGGTGTTCTTTGGATGAAATTTAGCATTCTTTGTCCTCCAAACACGACGAGTTGAGTTTCTACCAAAAAGTTATATTTTGGTTTCATCTGACCATATGACATTCTCCCAATCCTCTTCTGGATCATCCAAATGCACTCTAGCAATCTTCAGACGGGCCTGGACATGTACTGGCTTAAGCAGGGTGACACGTCTGGCACTGCAGGATTTGAGTCCCTGGCGGCGTAGTGTGTTACTGATGGTAGGCTTTGTTACTTTGGTCCCAGCTCTCTGCAGGTCATTCACTAGGTCCCCCCATGTGGTTCTGGGATTTTTGCTCACCGTTGTGATCATTTTGACCCCACGGGGTGAGATCTTGCGTGGAGCCCCAGATCGAGGGAGATTATCAGTGGTCTTGTATGTCTTCCATTTCCTAATAATTGCTCCCACAGTTGATTTCTTCAAACCAAGCTGCTTATCTATTGCAGATTCAGTCTTCCCAGCCTGGTCCAGGTCTACAATTTTGTTTCTGGTGTCCTTTGACAGCTCTTTGGTCTTGGCCATAGTGGAGTTTGGAGTGTGACTGTTTGAGGTTGTGGACAGGTGTCTTTTATACTGATAACAAGTTCAAACTGGTGCCATTAATACAGGTAACGAGTGGAGGACAGAGGAGCCTCTTTAAGAAGAAGTTACAGGTCTGTGAGAGCCAGGAATCTTGCTTGTTTGTAGGTGACCAAATACTTATTTTCCACCATAATTTGCAAATAAATTAATTAAAAATCCTACAATGTGATTTTCTGGAAAGAAAATTCTCAATTTGTCGGTCATAGTTGACGTGTACCTATGATGAAAATTACAGGCCTCTCTCATATTTTTAAGTGGGAGAACTTGCACAATTGGTGGCTGACTAAATATTTTTTTCCCCCACTGTATATAGGGAGTAGAAAATAACATGGCTATATACAGGGAGTACTAGTACCGAGTCGATGTGCAGGGATACAAGGTAATTGAGGTAGCTATGTACTGAACATATAGGTAGGGGTAAAATGACTAGGCAACAGGATAGATTACAGTAGCAGCAGCGTATGTGGTGAGTCTGAAAGTGTGTGTGTGGCATCAGTATGTAAGTAAGCCATCACTAGCACATTAGAGGCTGCTGCTGCCTATTGAAATCACTGGACACTTTAAGAAATGGAACACTAGTCACTTGAATAATGTTTACATATATTGCACTACTCATCTCATATGTATATACTGCATTCTATTCTATAATATTCTACTGTATCTTAGTCCATGCCGCTCTGGCATTGCTTGTCCATACAGTGGGGAGAACAAGTATTTGATACACTGCCGATTGTGCAGGTTTTCCTACTTACAAAGCATGTAGAGGTCTGTAATTTGTATCATAGGTACACTTCAACTGTGATAGATGGAATCTAAAACAAAAATCCAGAAAATCACATTGTATGATTTTTAAGTAATTAATTTGGTACAGAAACCTCTGTTTGCAATTACAGAGATCATACGTTTCCTGTAGGTCTTGACCAGGTTTGCACACACTGCAGCAGGGATTTTGGCCCACTCCTCCATACAGACCTTCTCCAGATCCTTCAGGTTTCGGGGCTGTCGCTGGGCAATGCGGACTTTCAGCTCCCTCCAAAGATTTTCTATTGGGTTCAGGTCTGGAGACTGGCTAGGCCACTCCAGGACCTTGAGATGCTTCTTACAGAGCCACTCCTTAGTTGCCCTGGCTGTGTGTTTCGGGTCGTTGTCATGCTAGATGACCCAGCCACGACCCATCTTCAATGCTCTTACTGAGGGAAGGAGGTTGTTGGCCAAGATCTCACGATACATGGCCCCATCCATCCTCCCCTCAATACAGTGCAGTCGTCCTGTCCCCTTTGCAGAAAAGCATCCCCAAATGATTTTTCCACCTCCATGCTTCATGGTTGGGATGGTGTTCTTGGGGTTGTACTCATCCTTCTTCTTCCTCCAAACACGGCGAGTGGAGTTTAGACCAAAAGGCTCTATTTTTGTCTCATCAGACCACATGACCTTCTCCCATTCCTCCTCTGGATCATCCAGATGGTCATTGGCTAACTTCAGATGGGCCTGGACATGCGCTGGCTTGAGCAGGGGGACCTTGCGTGCGCTGCAGGATTTTAATCCATGACGGCGTAGTATGTTACTAATGGTTTTCTTTGAGACTGTGGTCCCAGCTCTCTTCAGGTCATTGACCAGGTCCTGTCGTGTAGGTCTGGGCTGATCCCTCACCTTCCTCATGATCATTGATGCCCCACGAGGTGAGATCTTGCATGGAGCCCAAGACCAAGGGTGATTGACCGTCATCTTGAACTTCCATTTTCTAATAATTGCGCCAACAGTTGTTGCCTTCTCACCAAGCTGCTTGCCTATTGTCCTGTAGCCCATCCCAGTCTTGTGCAGGTCTACAACTTTATCCCTGATGTCCTTACACAGCTCTCTGGTCTTGGCCATTGTGGAGAGTTTGGAGTCTGTTTGATTGAGTGTGTGGACAGGTGTCTTTTATACAGGTAACGAGTTCAAACAGGTGTAGTTAATACAGATAATGAGTGGAGAACAGGAGGGCTTCTTAAAGAAAAACTAACAGGTCTGTGAGAGCCGGAATTCTTACTGGTTGGTAGGTGATCAAATACTTATGTCATGCAATAAAATGCAAATGAATTACTTAAAAATCATACAATGTGATTTTCTGGATTTTTGTTTTAGATTTCGTCTCTCACAGTTGAAGTGAGAGTATATGATAAAAATGACAGACCTCTACATGCTTTGTAAGTAGGAAAACCTGCAAAATCGGCAGTGTATCAAATACTTGTTCTCCCCACTGTATATGTATATTTTCTTAAATTCCATTCCTTACTAGTTTTGTGTGTATTGGGTATATGTTGTGAAATTGTTAGATATTACTTGTTAGATATTACTGCACTGTCGGAGCTAGAAGCACAAGCATTTTGCTACACCCGCTATAACATCTGCTAAACACGTGTATGTGACAAATAAAATGTGATTTGATTTGCATGACTTGGTGCAAAAAAGGTTCAATGCAGGTAGCCTTTTGATGAGCTATTTAGCAGTCTTGTTTAGAAGTCTTATGGCTTGGGGGGGTAGAAGCTGTTCAGGATCCTGTTGGTTCTAGAATTGGTGCATTGGTACCGCTTGACGTGTGGTAGCAGAGAGAACAGTCTGTGGCTTGGGTGCCTGGAGTCTGACAATGTTTTGGGCCTTCCTCTGACACTACCTGGTATAGAGGTCCTGAATGGCAGGGAGCTGGGCCCCAGTGATGTACTGGGCTGTACGCACTACCCTCTGTAGCGTCTTGCGGTCAGATGCCAAGCTGTCGTCGGTGATCAGGTCTACCACCGCTGTGTAATCTGCAAACTTAATGCAGGTTTAATGATGGTATTGGAGTTGTGCACGGCTATGGGGTGATAGACATTTAGACAGGTTACCTTGGCGTTCTTGGGCACAGGGACTATGGTGGTTTGCTTGAAACATGTACAGTGCCTTCAGAAAGTATTCACACCCCTTGACTTTTTCCACATTTTGTTGTGTTACAGCCTGAATTTAAAATGTATTACATTGAGATTTTGTGTCACTGGCCTACAGTCGTGGTCAAACGTTTTGAGAATGACACAAGTATTGGTCTTCACAAAGTTCGCTGCTTCAGTGTTATGAGATATTTTTGTCAGATGTTACTATGGTATACTGAAGTATAATTACAAGCATTCCATAAGTGTCAAAGGCTTTTATTGACAATTACATTAAGTTTATGCAAAGAGTCAATATTTGCAGTGTTGACCCTTCTTTTTCAAGACCTCTGCAATCCGCCCTGGCATGCTGTCAATTAACTTCTGGGCCACATCCTGACTGATGGCAGCCCATTCTTGCATAATCAATGCCTGGAGTTTGTCAGAATTTGTGGGTTTTTGTTTGTCCACCCGCCTCTTGAGGATCGACCACAAGTTCTCAATGGGATTAAGGTCTGGGGAGTTTCCTGGCCATGGACCCAAAATGTCAATGTTTTGATCCCCGAGCCACTTCATTATCACTTTTGCCTTATGGCAAGGTGCTCCATCATGCTGGAAAAGGCATTGGTTGTCACCAAACTGTTCTTGGATGGTTGGGAGAAGTTGCTCTCTGAGGATGTGTTGGTACCATTCTTTGTTCATGGCTGTGTTCTTAGGCAAAATTGTGAGTGAGCCCACTCCCTTGGCTGAGAAGCAACACCACACATGAATGGTCTCAGGATGCTTTACTGTTGGCATGACACAGGACTGATGGTAGCGCTCACCTTGTCTTCTCCGGACAAGATGTTTTCCAGATGCCCCAAACAATCGGAAAGGGGATTCATCCGAGAAAATGACTTTACCCCAGTCCTCAGCAGTCCAATCCCTGTACCTTTTGCAGAATATCAGTCTGTCCCTGATGTTTTTCCTGGAGAGAAGTGGCTTCTTTGCTGCCCTTCTTGACACCAGGCCATCCTCCAAAAGTCTTCGTCCCACTGTGTGTGCAGATGCACGAACACCTGCCTGCTGCCATTCCTGAGCAAGCTCTGCACTGGTGGTGCCTCGATCCCACAGCTGAATCAACTTTAGGAGACGGTCCTGGCGCTTGCTGGACTTTCTTGGGCACCCTGACGCCTTCTTCACAACAATTGAACCTCTCTCCTTGAAGTTCTTGATGATCCGATAAATGGTTGATTTAGGTGCAATCTTACTAGCAGCAATATCCTTGCCTTTGAAGCCATTTTTGTGCAAAGCAATGATGACGGCACGTGTTTCCTTGCAGGTAACCATGGTTAACAGAGGAATAACAATGATTTCAAGCACCACCCTCCTTTTAAAGCTTCCAGTCTGTTATTCTAACTCAATCAGCATGACAGAGTGATCTCCAGCCTTGTCCTCGTCAACACTCTCACCTGTGCTAACGAGAGAATCACTGACCTGATGGCAGCTGGTCCTTTTGTGGCAGGGCTGAAATGCAGTGGAAATGTTTTTGGGGGGATTATGTTCATTTTCATGGCAAAGAGGGACTTTGCAATTAATCTGATCACTCTTCATGAGATTCTGGTGTATGTGCAAATTGCCATCATCAAAACTGAGGCAGCAGACTTTGTGAAAATTAGTATGTGTCATTCTCTAAACGTTTGACCACGACTGTACACACAATAACCCATAATGTCAAAGTGGAACTATGTATTTTGAAACTTTTACAAATTAATTAAAATGGAAAAGCTGAAATGTCTTGAATCAATAAGTATTCAACACCTTTGTTATGACAAGCCTAAATAAGTCCAGGAGTAGAAATATGCTTAACATGTCACATAATAAGTTGCATGGACTCACTCTGTGTTTAATAATAGTGTTTAACATGATTTTTGAATGACTACCTCATCTTGGTACCCTACACATACAATTATCTGTATGGTCCCTCAGCAGAGCAGTGAATTTCAAACACAGAATCAACCACGAAGACCAGGGAGGTTGTCCAATGCCTCGCAAAGAAAGGCACCTACTGGTAGATAGGTAAAAAAAAAAGTAAATATTGAATATCCCTTTGAGCATTGTGAAGTTATTAATTACACTTTGGATGGTGTATCAATACATCCAGTCACTACAAAGATACAGGTGTCCATCCTACCTCAGTTGCCGGAGTGGAAGGAAACCGCTCAGGGATTTCACCATGAGGCTAATGGTGACTTTAAAACAGTTACAGAGTTTAATGGCTGAGGATGGATCAACATTGTAGTTACTCTACAATACTAACCCAAATTACAGAGTGAAAAGATGGAAGCCTGTACAGAATAAAATATTCCAAAACATGCATCCTGTTTGCATCAAGGCACTGAAGTAATACTGCAAAAAATGTAGCAAAGCAATTCACTTTGTGTTATGTTAGGGGCAAATCCAATACAACACATTACTGAGTACCACTCCATATTTTTAAGCATAGTGGTGGCTGCACCATGTTATGGGTATGCTTGTAATCATTAAGGACTGGAGAGTTTTTCAGGATTAAAAACATGGAAAGCACAGGCAAAATCCTAGAGGAAAACCTGGTTCAGTCTGCTTTCCAGCTGTCACTGGGAGATGAATTCACCTTTCAGCAGGACAATAACCTAAAACACAAGGCCAAATCTACACTGGAGTTGCGCACCAAGAAGACAGTGAATGTTCCTGAGTGGCTGAGTTATAGTTGACTTAAATCTGCTTGAAAGTCTATGGCAAGACTTAAATTGTTGTCTACGAATGATCAACAACCAATTTGACAGAGCTTGAAGAATTTTGAAAAGAGTAATGGGCAAATATTGTACAATCTAGGTACGCAAAGCTCTTAAGAGATTTACCCAGAAAGACTCACAGCTGTAATCGCTAAAGGTGCCAAAGGTGATTCTAACATCTATTGACTCAGGGTTGCGAATACTTACATAAATGAGATGCATCTGTATTTCATTTTCAATAAATGAAATACAGATGTCATTATGGGGTATTGTGTGTAGATTGGTGAGAAAAAACATTTATTTAATACATTTTGAATTCAGGCTGTAACACAACAAAATGTGGAACAAGTCAAGGAGTATGCATACTTTCTGAAGGCACTGTAGGTATTACAGAATGGGTCAGGGAGAGGTTGAAAATCTAGGGAACTCTAGCTGGATGCCCCATGTGACCTCCTCCACAGTGACTGGGGGGAGAGAGTGGTAGTGGAGCAGAATTCTGAAAGACGGTGGAAAGAGGAACTGTGCACCAACATTATGCAGAGGGGAGGTAGTGGTGGTTTGGATCTGCTCATCCCTCAAGTAATGGTAGAGAAAACATTATAAACCTTATCTCAAAGACATGGATCCTACCTTTCTTGGGCGGTGTCTTTGCTGAGGGAGTGAAAAACTTAGTCACTGTGTTGACTTTACGTGACTTCTCCTTGGTTTTCCTTTCTTCAAACTTGCTGAAGGGTGCGATGGCAGGCTGGGGCTGGGGTGCCCCCTGGTGGTTGTTAGCGTACGCTGCCTCCTCCTCCCTCTGTAACCTGGGGCACAGAACAGACATTGTTGTTACTACCTCATGATCAATACTGAAGACAGACAGAAACAGTGGTCCCTAACTAAAACACGACAGATAAGGAAAACATTTCATTGATCAAAAAGGCAAGAATAATTTCAACTAATGACAGACAGCAACATGACACTGTTCCATTTGCCTCTGTGAAAATGGCTGTTGAAATGTTTGTTGATCAATGATCAAAAGTTACTGGTGGATTTTGTTATCGTTACGTTTTCGACTCCACCCCTCAATTTTGAGCGGGGCATTCAGTGTTTGCCACCGGGCTCCTAGATTTAAAATCGAGTGCTAACTCCACCCACCCGGCCAACAGCTGGGGGACGATGCAAAACAAGCTTGCTCAGATAAACAATCACACACCTCTCTGCCAGTGCATGGTCCTCCTGGATCTGTTTGTGTCTGGTTTGTTGGTACTCCTCCCGCCAGCACTTGGAGCAGAGGCCCCGCCAGGCCGCGTTGCCATAGAAACCACACCCCTTCGTACACAGCAGCTCTGACTGGTCCACATGGATCCCACGACGTTCCGACCGGTGGCTCATCCCTCACGGCTAGTGAGGATACTGCTGGGAATGACAGGGAAAAGACAAGACTGTGATGGAATAGAACGATCCACAGTCAGAAGTAGGACTACACTGAACTTGATGGCTGTTATATATTTATCAGGACTTTGACAAGGTTGAATGCCTACACACTATGGTCCACATTCAGGTTGAGGTATTTGATTTTAAAAAATGTATGTTTAATAGAGGTAGCTAGCATAATGACACATTTTAATCCACACTGAAGAAAATCTCAGTGAATTCCTCTGTGTATCAAAATATGATTTCATACAGCGGCAGTGTTTACACCTTTACCACCCTAACATTAAAATTACACAAAGTGGAAATCTGACAAGAGTTTGAACCCTTAAGAATCTGCTAATTTCTGATGATTGTGACTACTTACTTATATTGGGAATGCATGATAAGAAAATCAACACAGGAGGAATTTAATGGATGACCACCAAAACTGGTAAAACAATGTATGGCCTTCTTTCTACTGGTAGATGTGTCAAGTCCCAATAGTGTAGCTACACTCGACTTTGTTTGAAGCCACATTACATTTACATTTTAGTCATTTAGCAGATGCTCTTATCCAGAGCGATTTACAGTTAGTGAGTGCATACATTTTTCATGCTAGCTAACTAGCCATCCTGATTTATTAACACGCTAGCCAGCTACTTTACTACCAAATACTTTTATAACTAACCCTTCTACTGTGTACTGTATAGCTGCAAGCAATGCAATGGGCTTAGCTAAGATCTAACTTGATCGCTAACATTAGCTAGTTAGTGGTCCTCTGTAGCTCAGCTGGTAGAGCACGGCGCTTGTAACGCCAAGGTAGTGGGTTCGATCCCCGGGACCACCCATACACAAAAATGTATGCACGCATAACTGTAAGTCGCTTTGGATAAAAGCGTCTGCTAAATGGCATATTATTATATTATTTAGCTAGCTCTAACTTCACGAAAAACGCGACGCAATGTCAATGACACATGACATTAGCTAGCTAGGCTTCTTCTAGTAACTAAATATTAACAATAAACCTTTAAACGTGGCTACAAAAATACCATCATTTAGTATTCTACAATGGACCCACCTGACCACTGGGTCCTTACCAGGCAGAGATTAACTGAACTAGGGTTTGGCTCATACTAGACGCTAACATTAGCTACCTAGCTATGATAGGCTAGCTAGTTTGCGCTTGCAGTTGACGTTAGCTAACGTTACTAGCTAGCTAGGTTGACAGTAATTCCGACCCGACAAAATTGACAAGCAATTCAACAATATCGTTAGCTAGCTAACAACATTCTGTGACTCCTTACCTTTTCAGAAAGATTATTGAGTGTGGATATATTTCGTTTTTTATGCACCCATTGGTACTATCTGCTACTCACCCCTCTGACAGACCGGTTTGTTTACGTAGCGTTACCCTTCTTCCTCTTTATCCAAGAGCGCCCTCTTGAGACCATCTCAGGTACACAGACAGTCCTGTGCAACACTGTACTCTTTCAAATGGGAAATTATTAAAATTGTATTCATTTTATCAGCCGTTCTTATTCAGAGCGATTTACAGTGTGTGTATTAATCTTAAGGCAGCTAGATGTGGACAACCACACATTACATTCATAGTAAGTAGCTATATAATAAAGTAGCTAAAAATGTCATACGTTTTTTAACAAAACTTTTATGTAAATCTATGCACCAAACCAGCCAATCAGGTTACTGTATAATATATATGGGAAGTTTACTAAGACATTTTGTGACCAGTAGCCTAAGACGAACAGTATTTGGGACAAAACTCGTAGTGATCGAGTATCGTCAAGAAAACGCCTAGGCATATCGTTATTCTATGCGAAATAGCTGTCAGAAAGAATAGAATAGCTTAATCCACCTCATCTAAGGAATGGCAGGTAAGTCATTAAAATGTATATGTACAAACATTATCGGCTGTTTTGCTTAGGTAAAAAAAAAATGTTGAAACAAACATGGTATTTATTTTTACTACTCTGACATATATAAATATGAAGAATATTGCAATGTTTTTGTTGTAATTTTGGGCAATTTTTTTGTACTTCGACAACATGCATACTTTCACTTTCGCTATAGCCCTCAAACTCAAGACTGACCTGTGCACGCCCGATCCACCGTCAGTAGATCCACCGTTTTTTTCTATCTGGAGCAGATAATTTGATAACAATGTGTGCGTGTGTGATGATTTGATTATCTTTCTCTATTTGTGTGTGTGTGTGTGTGTGTGTGTGTGTGTGTGTGTGTGTGTGTGTGTGTGTGTGTATATCTTAGCCCTCGGCGTCCTTTAGGGCTATGTGTGTCTGTCTGTGTCAGTGTGGGTGTTTGTGTGAACACGCCATGTAAGCCATGAACCAAAATATTATTTAAGAACTGTATCATGGCTTCTTGCATCATGTAAGGTGCAATCTGCAGTTGCTAAATACATTTTTTGTCTTTTAAATTAATGATATACCCATTGATTATTGAAGAATATAACACAGATGACTCATGAGCATAGTTCAACTGTCAAACTCATCAAAATATAAGCTTGGTTTATTCATTTGTTTGTAACAATGTAAATGTAAACAAACACTGTATAGCCTCAAAACATGATTAAACTATAATGTTGATATCATGGATGGTCAGTCTTTGCATCCATAGCTCTGTCCATGAGTTTGAGAGTGGTTAAATTTTTCCAGCCCCATCCCTCAGCTGTTTACCAAATCAGTGGAGGGGTGGCCACTTTCTTATTGTTCGAGCTGAAGATTGCCCCTTTAAAGGATTAATTGAAATGTAGAATACATTGTATGCACAATTACAAAGCAGATGCATAAGACTTAGACATCGCTCCAACAATGATTAAATTGTAGCTCTGATTAAATCCTATTTACTTTCAGCAGACAACCTCTTCAATGCTCGGAAGATATTCATAGACAGTGTGACGAAGACAGTGATCAAGCAGCTTCTGGACGACCTTTTGGAGGACAAGGTGCTGAACGATGAAGAGACAGATTCAGTGACGGAGGAGAACAGCGCTAGGGCAGAGCAGGCACGATGCCTCATCGATATGGTGCGGAAGAAAGGGGTCAAAGCCAGTGAGAAGATGATTGCCCGAGTTCAGGAGAGAGATCCTGGACTTCATGACAAATGTGGTCTGGCCCCCAGGCAGCTTGCCCAGATGAGTGAGTGAAACTGATACACCATTCAATTACATCTGTCACAGTCCCAAACTTCTCTTAGACTTGATAAGAGTTAGTAAGAACTTAGCAGATACTGTAAATTGAATGTAACATGCTGTATTTTCCCTGCAGCACCATCATCGCCCCAGTTATCACAAGAGGAGGAGCACCCAGTGTCCTCTGTCATCCCCAGCACCAAGGACTTTAAGGAGGACATTCTTCAGAGGAAGCGTCATGAGGTTAGAGCTATACTTGGTTGTCAAAGGATAGATCAGTGTACATGTATCGGTTTTCTGAGTGCCCCAATAGAATTAGCTTCTGAGTTTATAGTTCTCGTATTAGACCAGTAAGCTTGCTTATGAACCCCTGGGGTTACCTGTGTCACAGTTTAGGAAACACAGTAATTTAAGTTACTCTAAAGTCTTAAAAAAATAAATAAAAATAAATAATCTAGGCGTGAAAGTATAGTCCTACAGTGTAAACAAACCGTCAAAGTTTCAACTGGTAAATTCACATACTGCAATAACTGTGTAACAATGTGTACCTACACTGTTATTACACAGTGGTTTTAGCATGACTTGTAAATTGGGACCAATTTCCACACATATTTTGATTGAGTAGAATTGTTGCTGGGCTATATTACTGTTAAATAACCTTTGCAGCTGTCATTGCATCAGGTTTACGTTCCAATGGATGAGTCTGGTCGGAAGCGCCTGGCCCTGCTCATAAACAACGTGGAGTTTGATGATGAGAACATGCTGAGACGAGGGGCAGTGAAGGATGAGGAGAACATGGAGATGCTTCTCAGTGATCTGGGATATGATGTGGTGAAACACAGAAATCTGTCTGGACAGGTACACAGGGGGAGGAAACATCTCTCCTGCTTCTAGAAGAATGTTTACATGTTTCCTTAGTCTATGGTTTGTCTCCTCTGACTGACTCAGTGTGCTCTTGCAGGAGATGGACGAGGCTGTGAAAGCGTTCTCAAAACGTGAAGAGCATTCATTGTCGGACAGCGTCTTCGTGGTGATGATGTCTCACGGGGAGCTGGGAGTCATCATGGGTGTCCACTACAAGGAAGGGGACCCTAAACCTGATGTCTTCCCCATCAACAACATCTTCATACACCTGAACACAGAGAACTGCAAAGCACTGATTAACAAACCCAAAGTCATCCTCATTCAGGCCTGCAGGGGAGGTGATCCTTTCATTGATATGTTTTTTATATTTTTTCTAAATGTATGTTAACCTTTTCTACTCATGTTAATTTGAGTAGAATGCCTCCATATTAAAGAGGATTTGCATGTTGTTTCAGGCAAGGACGGTTCTGTTTGGGTCAGTGACGCGGTGCCTGGGCCCAGCCCTTACCTGGGGTTAGAGAGTGACTTAATCAGGAGGGAGCACAAAGAGAAGGACTTCATCTCCCTTCTGTCCTGCACACCAGGTGAGTGGGTCACATTAACACATTCTCAAGCAATATATTGTTTGTAAATGACTGTGAGTAAACCCTCATTACATTCCCTACCCTTTCAGATACTGTGTCCTACAGAGATCCAAAGATGGGCAGCTTGTTTGTCCAGCACATCATCGAGACATTCAACAACTATGCCCATAATGATCATATAGAAGAATTGTTCAGGAAGGCAAGTATCTGGAAACAGAAAAGTTAACAATGCTCTTTCCTCATTGCACTGAATGGAATGATTGATCAAATTTGATTTACTTTGAGCGACAATAACGTGTTTGTATTTTCTTCCACACAGGTCATGGGTCGCTTTAAAGATTTCCCGAGACAGATGCCGACCAAAGACAGAGCCACTCTAACAAAGCACTTCTACCTCTTCCCAGGCCTCTGAGAAGTTGTGATGGCTGATGAATTGTACTGTATTCACAATGGAGGAATAAGGGAGGAACATTGTTTTAGTTTTTTTTGTACGATCATCACCAGTATGTTTTAATTTGATACTTAGAATTAACCTTTTAACATATTATTTTATCATCAACAAATTATTTATCATCAGCGAATTAAAATATCCTCCTGTAGAGCTAGGTAGTCTTTTGTTCCAGCCCTGCACTAACACACCTGATTCAGCTAATTAAAGTCAAGATGAGCAGCTAATTAGTAGGAACAAAAGCGTATGGGTACTAGGTTACCCAGTAACTCTCCAGGAGGAAGATTGGCCACTCCTGTTTTCACATTTGGAAGGTGACAAAAGCACTGTGTGCGAAATACAATTTTCTCACTGCACTGAAAAACATGTAATACTTTTAACAGATGTGATGTGCCTTTGGCTACAAATGAAATGTAGGTTAATTTTGCCTATCCACTATTGTTAGGCAGTGAGCAAGCTTGTCTATTTGTATTTATTAAGGATCCCCATTAGCCAAGGCAGCAGCTGCTCTTCCTGGGGTCCAGCAACATTAAGGCAGTTATATACTGTTAAAAATATTACATGACATTACATTTCATAACACTTTACCCAATACATTTAGTGTGTTCTCTCAGGCTACTACTCCACTACCACATATTTACAATACAACTTCCATGTGTACAGTGGGTAAAAAAAGTATTTAGTCAGCCACCAATTGTGCAAGTTCTCCCACTTAAAAAGATTAGAGAGGCCTGTAATTTTCATCATAGGTACACGTCAACTATGACAGACAAAATGAGAAAAAAATCCAGAAAATCACATTGTAGGATTTTTAATGAATTTATTTGCAAATTATGGTGGAAAATAAGTATTTGGTCAATAACAAAAGTTTCTCAATACTTTGTTATATACCCTTTGTTGGCAATGACACAGGTCAAACGTTTTCTGTAAGTCTTCACAAGGTTTTCACACACTGTTGCTGGTATTTTGGCCAATTCCTCCATGCAGATCTTCTCTAGAGCAGTGATGTTTTGGGGCTGTCGCTGGGCAACACAGACTTTCAACTCCCTCCAAAGATTTCCTATGGGGTTGAGATCTGGAGACTGGCTAGGCCACTCCAGGACCTTGAAATGCTTCTTACGAAGCCACTCCTTCGTTGCCCGGGCGGTGTGTTTGGGATCATTGTCATGCTGAAAGACCCAGCCACGTTTCATCTTCAATGCCCTTGCTGATGGAAGGAGGTTTTCACTCAAAATCTCACTATACATGGCCCCATTCATTCTTTCCTTTACACGGATCAGTCGTCCTGGTCCCTTTTCAGAAAAACAGCCCCAAAGCATGATGTTTCCACCTCCATGCTTCACAGTAGGTATGGTGTTCTTTGGATGCAACTCAGCATTCTTTGTCCTCCAAACACGACGAGTTGAGTTTTTACCAAAAAGTTATATTTTGGTTTCATCTGACCATATGACATTCTCCCAATCCTCTTCTGGATCATCCAAATGCACTCCAGCAAACTTCAGACGGGCCTGGACATGTACTGGCTTAAGCAGGGGGACATGTCTGGCACTGCAGGATTTGAGTCCCTGGCGGCGTAGTGTGTTACTGATGGTAGGCTTTGTTACTTTGGTCCCAGCTCTCTGCAGGTCATTCACTAGGTCCCCCCATGTGGTTCTGGGATTTTTGCTCACCGTTGTGATCATTTTGACCCCACGGGGTGAGATCTTGCGTGGAGCCCCAGATCGAGGGAGATTATCAGTGGTCTTGTATGTCTTCCATTTCCTAATAATTGCTCCCACAGTTGATTTCTTCAAACCAAGCTGCTTATCTATTGCAGATTCAGTCTTCCCAGCCTGGTCCAGGTCTACAATTTTGTTTCTGGTGTCCTTTGACAGCTCTTTGGTCTTGGCCATAGTGGAGTTTGGAGTGTGACTGTTTGAGGTTATCTTTTATACTGATAAATTCAAACAGGTGCCATTAATACAGGTAACGAGTGGAGGACAGAGGAGCCTCTTAAAGAAGAAGTTACAGGTCTGTGAGAGCCAGAAATCTTGCTTGTTTGTAGGTGACCAAATACTTATTTTCCACCATAATTTGCAAATAAATTCATTAAAAATCCTACAATGTGATTTTCTGGAAAAAGATTTCTCAATTTGTCTGTCATAGTTGACGTGTACCTATGATGAAAATTACAGGCCTCTCTCATCTTTTTAAGTGGGAGAACTTGCACAATTGGTGGCTGACTAAATACTTTTTTTCCCCACTGTACATGTGTGTAGAGTGCGTGTCTTACCATGTGTATGTGTGTCTGTGTATTGGTGTTACTATTATTTCGGTAAGGAGACGTAGATTTTTAAAAACCACAGATTATGTTTAAACTAATGATTTATCTCCATCATAAATGTCACGATCGTCTACCAAAGATGAGGACCAAGGCGCAGCGTTGAAGGTGAACATATTATTTATTATAAATGATCACACGATCAAAACAACAAACGATAACGTGACGTCTACAGTTTAACACAAACCAACTAGAACATAAACAAATGAAAACTCACACCCTGGCTCAACATACAAGAGTCCCCAGAGCCAGGGCGTGACAATAAAACGTTTTTTAAATGACTAGCAGGTCTGTTCAAGTTGTGTTGTCTATGCCTGTGTGCTACTTGGTATGAATGAAACTACAGTAGGCTGCTATGGTAGGGTTACCAGTGGCCAATTTGGTATAACTGCTCAGCACCCAGGCTCTGGAATTAAGGTTATTATAGTTTTGTGTTTTTACATGAGTTTTTTTACTATTCGTTTTCAAATTCTATTAGAAATTCAGTTTAGGTTCAGTTAATTTTCAAACCTGATTTGCTAGTTTTTATTTAGTTTTAGTTGTATAAAAATATTTATGTTTCGTTTTTGTATGATTTAGTTTCAGTTTTAGTGTTAGGGACAGAAAGCATGCGTAGGAATCTAGAAGCCATTTGTGTTGTATCGTTTTTTTTGTGGTGTTTTTTTATGTCGCTTCTTGCAACTGGGGGGCAGTGATACATCAAGTGATGGGTCAGGTCATAGGTTAGGTAAGGGTTTCCCAAACTTGGTCCTCGGGACCCGAAGGGGTGCACGTTTTGTTTTTTGCCCTAGTACTACACAGCTGATTCAAATAATAAACTAATCATCAAGTTTTGATCTTTTGAATCAGCTGTGTAGTGTTAGGGCAAAAAACTAAACGTGCACCCCTTGGGGTCCCGAGGACCAAGTTTGGGAAATGCTGGGTTAGGTTTAAGTTATAAAGTCAATCTCAATTTGATTTGGATTTAAAAGGAATAGTGCCGAGACTGGTGCAAAAAATATGGTGGAAGGAAACTCTCTCTCACCCATATGTTTACATCAAACCAATGTAGGCCTACATGTAAGAAGAATAAAGTTGTATACCTTTTCCCCTGTTAGCTAGTGATGCACACACTAGGCCTATTTGAAACATATCCCACTGGGCAAAAACTGGTTGAATCAACGTTGTTTCCACGTCATTTCAACCAAATAAATAAATGTGATGACGTGGAAAACTGATTAGATTTGCAAAAACTGATCAACGTAAGGGCATTTTGTATTTTTTTCACCTAACTTTTAATGACATGGTGACATTTGTTGTTGATTTCACGTTGAATTCACAGTTAGTTGACAACGCAACCAAATGTAAATCAAAACTATAAGTTGAACTGATGTCTGTGCCCAGCATTTTCTTTTTTATCCGCCAGATACAGTAGGTTGAAAACTCCCCCAAAAGCTTGAAAATCCCATTTAGATTTTTGCTCAAAGTTTAGAAATAAAACCAAAACGGAACATAATTCATGATAGTTAGTATTTTATTTTAGTTAGTTTTGGAGTCAACGATAATAGTTTCAGTATAGTTTTAGTTTTTAAAACGGGTTTGTTAATATATTTTTCCATTTACAAAATATTTTTAGTATGATTATTTTTATTTTTATTTTCAGTTTTAGTTTATTATAATAACCTGGAATGTACGGTGGCCCTAAGGGGCAAACCAGCTTTCAAAATAATAGGCATTTTGAAGCCTTTTACCAAACTTCGCAGCCTATTATTTTGAAAGTTGGTTTGCCCCTTAGGGCCACCGTAGGACTGCCCTTCCCCCACACATATGACATGCAGACACAGTCAACACAATCATTATTTTTGGACTAATTTTATATTGCACTAGTATTTTATTTTACCCGCACATTGATTTTATTTTATGTAGTTTTAATGTAAGGTGTCCTTGAGTGTCTTGATGTTTTATTATTAATATAACCATGTGACCATTTGACTATCAGGAGATTGATAACTGTCTCCCTCTTTCCTTTTCTCAAATTTGATGTCTGAGTATAGAGGGCACATCTTTGTGACAGGAGCTTCTGAGGCTGTTCTCATGAACTTCTGCAGAGGAAGGTGATCAATGAAGGAGAGAAAGATTATGTTTTGTAGAAAACCCTGTGAAGAAAGACGAGGCTCGGGAAACCATCGACATGATGCTGAGGAACGGAGAAAGTGCCTGTAAGGAAATGAAAGACCTGCTGGCTGAACTAGACCCCAAACTCTACCAAATGATGGAATTCGATTCACAAACTGATAATTCAATAAGGGACCTAGGCAAGCAAGTGGGCCAATGTAAGTATGAATGTGGACAACATTCCCTAAGCATTGTTTCACTAGTACAAAATCTGCATATCTTTTTTTCTTGAGGGAGAAAGAAATTAAGATAGTTAACAAACAAAATGCCAGTATAGGATTCTAGCAATCTGGCGTGTCTCTAGAGCACGGGCTTACGACGCTGTTACAGTAGAACACACATCACTCGTACTTCATTACCAATCATTGGCTGGAATTCAATCAAACCCACAAAGCAGAAACCTGAATGGCTAAAGATAATGTTCAAGCCCCAGGTTTACAGTAAGAAATAGTCTGTAAGACTTACTTTTTGTTTAGTGGTCAATATGTTGCTCATACTATGCATGTTCTGTTTTAATATGTTTTACATACACTGAGTGTACAAAACATTGGAAACACCTGGTATTTCCATGACATAGACTGACCAGGTGAATCCAGGTGAAAGCTATGATCCCTTATTGATATCACTTGTTAAATCCAGTTCAATCAGTGTAGATGAAGGGCGGGAGACAAGCTAAATAATGATTTTTAAGCCTTGAGACAATTGAGGCATGA